TTTTTTTAGCCCTTTTATTTTCCCCCTCCCCCCCCCCCCCCCCATGCTTGATCTCTTTCTTGGTTTTTGCCTTTCTTTTGCCTCATCTGCCAAGTACATGTGAAATAGATGCTTTACTAATAAAAGTACCTGTAGCATCTAACTAATGAGAATTTGAGATCTGAAAGGAAAAGTTACATATTTGTTTCCCGGTAGCAAAATATAACAGACACCAAACAATGCACAGTGGAATGGGCATAAACCCAGCCCTTCAGTAAAATACATTTCTGTGTATACAAAGACAAAAAGACTGTGGAAAAGAAGAAAAAGTAACCAAATGCAAACAGAAATTTGAGTACTAAAAACAACCAGATAGATCATATGGAAACTGAAGTTGGCATTCACTTGATATCTCAGCTCCTGATGAACCCTGGTCATCTCATCAGCTCAGTAATTGCATGTCTTCAGGATCTGAGTTCTTGTGAAATTATGGAAGCATGTTTTTACAACTCTATCTCCTCCAGTTGACCATCCTAAAAGGAAAAATGTCAGGCCTCCAAATACATAGTAGACTTTTGCACAGAAAGCAAGCAAACATGCAACCTCCACTATATAAGCATACATTATATACCCAAGTGCAAACTCACTGGTGTATCACACACATACCTTGATGCTATTAATAGATCTATGAAGAGAACTGCTGAATGACCACAAGATGAGAGCCTGGAAACCCAGGACAAAATTAATTTTAATAGACTACAATAGTTCACCATCATCAACACAGAGTAAGGACATCTTCCCGATAGACCAGGGTGCCAAAACAGTACAATCTCAACTTGTAAGATATAGGTATGCCGGGGCAGATAGCAGGGGAGCCACAAGGGGCCCGATCTTTGTTGTGTAGTGCACCCCTGGCCCCTTCCCTGCCATCTGCCCCGAGGCACTTGTGTACCCGCCACCAGCAACAAGCCAGGCTTGGGCTCTGCAGATCTTGGTGCAGGAGCTTGCAGCCTCCCAGCAGCCTACTACAGCTGGCCAGGGCTCAGGGCAGGCCCCTGACACCCACCATGGAGCCCAGGCTGCTTGCAGCAGGTGGCCGGAAGATTGCAAGCCACTGCACTGAGGTCTGTGGAGCCCTGTCTTGGCTTGTTGCTGGTGGCAGGTGCACGCATACTTCCAGGCAGACAAAGGAAATTGTCAGGGACTTTATCTTTGGGTGAATGGTGGAGAAGGAGCTGAGGCTGCACTGCCACAACAAAGGCACACCTGCCAAGCAAAATGCCTTTGTATCCCATGCCTTGGCATATGTGCCAGGGGTTGCCAACCCCTGTGATAGACCATACTTCTTTCTATTGTTCCAGTTGTCATTGACATGAGTCTCTCTCCTCACAGACAGCCAAACTGGCTTGGAAAGTTGTACGACAAAAGCTACATAATGTATTTTACAGAATTAGGAGTTCACTTGATAAACCTCACCACAAAAAAATCCAAATGAAACTACTATCCATGAGACACTGCACACATACTGCTTCATCTTATACATTATTAGCGGCTGTGAAATCAAAATAAGTTGCTGCAACTCCTACAGCAGAATTATGGATATGTCATCATAGCCCTATGGCACACATCATCCAACCACATCTAGTCCAGATCATGCAGAAAATGCAGGACGGGCTAGGTATTGAAGCAGAGCAGGCAGGAAAGATTTTCATCTAATTGGGTACTTGAAGGTCCACAGTTTAACAAGTCAGAACCCTGAAGCAGGAACAATTTTATGCCTTTTACAACTGCACTTCCCTCAACTACTCTCTCTGCTTCTAGACGTAGATTTTTTTCCACCGAAACACCTCAGGGATGAGTAAGAAGGGATCAGACCACCTGTGAAGTTAGCCCTTTACACATATGAAGGGCTTTGGTGGCATACGGTCAAGTAACAAAAAGAAAAATTGCTTCAAAACAGCCATTATTGGGACTCCTGTCCCCCACCTCACCCAGAATATTTCCTCTCCAGAAAAAAAAACTAACGAAAGACCATTTCACATCTCATCCTGATTGAAACTGCTGGCCAACTATAAGCTTTTCAGCCACAGGGCAGAACAGAGGTTGGCCTTGGCTGTTGTGGAGTATTACCAAGGCAGTCCACCCGACAGATACCAACCGATAACAGACCAGGACAGATGCAAGTGTTTTATCAACAGCAGACTTCCTCTTATGTGATTCTCTAGTTTTCTCTCCTACATCTCACTTTGTGGCTGTTGGAGTTTTCCTCTGCCAAGCAGCTTCAAGATAGGGGACCATATCTAACAATCACTGGGAAAAAGACTGCTTTCCTTTTCTGGAAAGCTCACCAGTTCATTCTGCCCACTGGCAATGGTATTCAATGATTCCCAGACCACCTGTTTTTCCTCAGCTATAAGGAAACCATTTTGCTTTCAGATTTGTTCCTTTGCTCTTCTGCTGGGCACTCACCACAGTAAAAGACATTTGTTAAACCATGTCAGTCACACAGCTCACAAGATACCTCCTATGAGCTCTGGCGGCTGTTGAGAAGATGACTCTGCTTCTTCTATATCCAATAGTGGCTCATTTTAGTAACCACAGTCCTCCAAAGATCCTGTAGGTAGTGGTTGTATTCCATACAGCTGCTCCAGCAACAGGCTGGAACCCTAGCCTCATCATTTGATCCCTAGCCTCATCATCATTCTGTGGTCCGGGAAATATCAATTCAGTTAGGAGTCCCCAGTAGCCAGAAAACTTCTTCAGTAGCATAACAAGTTGTCTCTTCAGAACTTCCTGCAGCAAAAATTTCTGCCAAGGAGCTCCTCATCATTAGGAGCCAACCTAGTTGGCTTCTTGTCTCAGTTTGATCTTCCAAGTCAACACAGAGACAATGCTCCTGTTAAAACAATCCTAGGGCTTTTGTCTTTCTGCAAGTGGAAACTGAGAAGATTTGTTTCCCCAGGCCAGCCATTTCCTCATTTCCTGGAGAATGGATGACAACACAAATGACTCTTAAGATTTTGCTTCACGAAACACAATGTATATTCTCCTTCTCCATCTCAACTGCCAGCATAGAAAGCCCAACCCAAAAGCTAGACCCAAGAAGCTCTCCTTCTCTCAACTATAAAACAGTGATTTGCAACCAGAGTGTCTTGAGATCCTTTAAAGGGTGCGCCAGGGTGCTGTGAAGCATTAGTACTGTTAAAATGTGCAAACAACTATACATGATTCACAGAATAAACCCAGAGATTTCAAATAGGAATCCACAGTGTCAAAAACATTGTGACCTGTTGTGGTCTTTCTGAGTTCTTCGCAAGAGAAGAATTGCTCTCTTATTTTTCCATAGTCAAGAAACAAATGAAAGCTAAAAGCCAACATTTTCCAAGGGATGCCTCAAGTCTAGTTAAGAACTTATGCATGAAGAAAGCTATTCAGGAAAAGGCCAGTAAAGGTCAAGCATAAAATTCAGGGGCTATGTGTATACAAGTTTCTGGTTGTTACTCTAGAAATAGTTACGCCTGATGAAAAAAATAAAAGGTTAAGTGATCAAAATTGGTATAGCAAAAAAACCTGTTACACTGCTGTCTACATAGGGTTCCACTGGCCCCAATTTACTTGAACCACTGGTGACAATGGGATTTCTTTCTAAATTGTCTGGGAGACAAAAACTGAGCAAGCAGAATCAGGAAACCTATACATGCAAATTTAAAAGTGAAGCTGTTGATGAAGCTTCCATGAGGCATAATTCCTCCCATTTGGTTCTCTTTTCTTGGAGAGAAACCTTAAGAACACCTGGTATTGATGATAGTAAATAACTTCAAGGTAAGATATGGCTTGAGCCAAGGTATTTTTTGTTGTTGCTGTTTTAAAGAGTTCACTGTTAATCCACAGATTTGGAGGAAATGAACCAAACTGGTTTCTTCTCTTCCTGTCTCAAAAAGGTGTTCTTATCAGATTGTGATAAGAAACTGATAGAGATGCTAGATGTAAGTGTCTACATCTTTGTATATCCTCATGGAGGTGATGAGGCCAGTTGTACTGGCAATTAGGAGAACCAGAGGAAGTCACCATGATTAGTAACCCTACCTGTCTGTAAAGAGAGTAGATTAAGAGCCTAACATTTTAGGCTGCAGAGCTGAAAGAATGTCAACTGTAAGAACAGGAAGCACAGACTATAAATGAGAAAATGCAAAATTTGACCCCTAATAGTCTTTCTTCTGAGGCTCCCCATTCTGGCCTACCATATGATAGAAAATGCAAAGGTCTTTTAATTTTCAGTAAGACAGCACTTTGCTCTGGAGATGGGGAACAGGCAGGGAAAGAATGCTTAGAAATTCTCAGTTTAAAGAAATTGAGATTTCCGTCAAATCTGGAAGTGGTCTCACTAGGAATTTTGCCAAACAGGAAAAAGACAAACCCCAGTGATTAAGAAAGCTCCTGAAGCAGCAGAGCAGAGAAAACATATGACAGGAACAGCAAGCCTGGATATTCAGCAAAAAAATTATGGAGGGAGCATTTTTACTTTCTACCACATACACCAGTACGAATGATTCATTCAGCTCCAACTGCTGGGAGAGTTTCTTGAGTAATTTCTACTTTTCTAAATGGAAACTCAAGATATGTTCCAGGGACTCCTCATATTTCATGCTGATAGCATTCTACTCTGGAGGTCTATACTCAGCTCTCTTTGAAGGCAAAATTCCTGCAAAAATATCCACTAACAGCCTGAGGGAATAAGCTGGAACTGGTGCTAGGGGGATGAGGAAGGAAGGAGAGGAATTTTGACTGCTAGCCTTATTGAAACACTAAACCCTGTGGTCACTCCTAGAGAGAGATCTCAACCTCGTTCAGTATTAGTCAAATCAATCCAAACAAAGGCCTTTGCAAAATGATGTAGAAAAATGTTGAATTAAAAGGCAGAAAGCAGTAGGTACTGAAAACTGGTACAAGGCGTGGAAGTCATATCAGATTCATCTGGTTTGTTTACCTGTTTCCACTGAGGCATAGGAGCAAGGCGGCCTTGCTCTCGCTGTCTGTAGGATGGCTGGTTGAGAACACGTCCTTGGTAAGGCAGGACAGGCTGTCACATGCAGGTCATAAGGAAGGTGAGATGGATCATGGAGGAAGAAAAAAATAGCAGAAGAAACTCAAAGAAAGCCACAAAGGATTGGGAGACAAAATGAGACGCACACAGTTGGGAGGAAAAAAATGGAGTAGGGAAGAATTAGTTATCAAGTAAAATACAAAATATATGAAAAACAAACAAATGAAATATAAACAAAAATGGGGAATTTTAAGATTCCTTCAGCACCTTCCTTTTGTTTTCAGCGTTTTCCTTGTTCCGTGTGAACAGTACACAGTGCTTAGGAAACATGTGGGGGAATAAAATTAAAATGGACCAGAAGACCCCTTCCAGACCTAGATTCCTGTATGCAACTGTAGAACAGTTCCCATTAGTCACAGCTGAGACTGCAGCATAACAGACACACCCCTGCTAGATTTAAGTACTGGTAGTGGTCTAACTATGGCAGCACAGAGCTCAGTGCTGTTGTAGCTACACTGCTAGGAGTATCCACTCTAGGTAAATTAAAGATAGCTTGTGTATACTGAAACTACACAGAAATCACAGCAGTAACTACACTGTACACAAAGTCCAGATGGTGGCCTTAATATCCAGACAAAAGGCACCACAAGGAATAATACAGGAGATCTACCCTAGGCAAAAATCCCAGGTGCCTAAATACCATTAAGAATCTAACTTTTGTTCACAAGAGCAGATGTTTATAAACCATCCATAAATATATTCACGCTGGAAAACAGAAGAAGGTTCTTAAGTGTAAGAGCAGTAAGGCTCTGGAAGAGTTTTTCAGTCAGAATAGTGGGAGTAAAAAAATCTAAGCCATGTGTACCATAGAGATCAATGAGTTTGCAAAACAGGTTGTAACACTGTGCTTGTGGTAGCAGGAGGCTAAATTCAAAACAAAAGGTATACGCTTTTTGCCACTATACTCCTAATAATTAAGTACTATATTCTTTAAATCCCCAAGTCTCTTGGATTCCTATTCCCTGAAGTAGCATTTACCTTCACTTAACAAGAGCATACACTGAGGGAGAAATGCAAAATCTCACCATTGAGTCTATAACAGTGCATCTTTTTGCTACCCTCATTCCTACGACATTTCTCCACATCCTCCTGAAAACAAAGGGTTTCTACCATACCAGTACAGGTGAAAAAACTTGTTGGCTGAATTTTAGGTCTATAAGCATCAAACCATCTTCTACCTGTCTCCGTAGGCCTGTGGACTGCACAGGTGCATTCTCCTCAAATTTGGCCAGCAGCTGGGTTGCCATGGACTTCACTTTGTTCTGATTCCCAATGGAGGCATCAATTCTTCTCTCTGTCAGGGCACTCACAAGCGTGGGTCTCTCCTCTCGGTAGCTTCGTGGGACTTCCTCCTACCAAACCAGTAAAAACTAAAGTAAATGGAAGCTTTAACTTGCTTTTTTCATTTAAAAGGAGACTTCTGCAGTTCAACACCACAGCAGCCAAATCCATTAACCCACATTTCCAAATTCATGCTTTTCTTGTCCACTCATCATCCTCCTCCATTTACTTTCAACCTTGTTTAATACTACTGATGTTATTTTCTATTGAAATATCTATAGTTCAGAAGACTCACAAATCTGTTGGCATGACGCAGGGATGTCAAACTCATTTGCCAAGCAAGGATCTATCCCACAGGGCTTTTCACAGGCCAACAGCACTGGCAAATTCTGGCAGTCATAGGGGTTAATGCCACTGCTACTTGTCCTACTACCAAATTTCTGGCCCCGAGGAACAGATCCAGAGGTGGGTCTCTCACAGACCATGAGAAACCTCATGGGGCATATAACCTGCCTCCATGAGCCAGATGATTGACACCCCTGTCATAAAGCAATGAGCCATTCTTAAGCACTGAATTAGAACACCAAGTGGAAGCCTTCATCTCAGAAGTATCATCTATCTGGACATGCATACTCTAAGTATGGGTGTGTGCACATGTGTATTATACACACTCTCCCACTCCCTATATGTACACTAACATTGCCGTCGCTCCCAAGAAAATTCAAGCTCTAGTTTCAGTTTGAACAGAATTGCTGACACTATTGTACCTCTGTAGCCTAAAACCATGACATTCCTTACTGCCCTAACCAAGTCACGAAACTGTAAGAAAACAAAAGAAGGATCTGTTAAGAACATTACATTTATATTGCCTTATTTTTGTTTCTTAGAAGCCAGAATTATATTTGGTACAAATATGACAACTGTAAGCTCCTACTAGGATCAACTTCAATTCAGGAGATATCATATTAGATAAGGCTAGGTTTCCTGTTTCCACTCTATTGTGTACTTTTTCCTTGAGTATTTTGTCTACTTTTCTACTTACATCTTCTGACTGGCTGGTCTTTCTCCTCTTTCCTGCACCATCCAGTTCTTTCTCCTTTTTGTCCTACAAAAGAAAAAAGCATCCAGATACTTGTACAACTTTTTCTCTCTGGCCCACAGCAAGTCTTGTCAGTGCATTACACAAATATTTATATTAGAACAGGTCAATTCCCTATGCTTATTTTCCACCTGTAAACAAAAAGGGGTTCCCCTGCACTTACTAGTCTTCACTTAAGGAACCAAACCTTATCATCTGAAACTGTCCATCATGGAAATTCAGTTAGTTGGGAGAAGAACCAACAGGTGATGCTTTGGACTCAAGCTACCAGCCTCAAACCAACTCTCTTCCTAGGATGCTCACACTTTCTTTTCACACTCTGTCCAACCCAAAATTCCCAAGTCATGCTGAAATAGTTTCAATCAAGCATTTCATGGACTGACAATACACATTCTGTGTTTAGTGCTACAGCTACAGGGAAACCAATGACCTGTGGGATTATAGGGTGGGTGTACACACATACGCACGCACTTTTCAAGCACACATTTACAGCCTGGCAAGCACTAGTTATTTCAGGGTTACAGAGGGTAAGATATGGCTACCTTTGGCATGCGTTTCCGAGAGATACTCTGGCCCAGTTTGCTAAGAAAAGAGATTGGAGACTTTGTGCTGGCAATTAGTGCAGCTTTCTCTTCTGCATTCAGGTCCAGATTATCTATAAAGAAAAACAGGCGATATTACTAAACACAGAGGAAAACTGTATACAATTAGCAATAGCCACAAAATAGTCAAGGGATTCAACTCACTCGAACTCGATGCCTTTAAGTCTCTTAGAACTTCAAAATGAACCACTTTATGACCATTTGACAAAAGCACTCAGGATTGTCCGAGTATACTTTGATTACTTCCATATTTGTAGACGAGCATAATCAATGTTAGTAAAAAGAGTCATGAGCAGATGCACGCTGTATTTTACATTAATAAAAAGTGTGTATTTAAATAACACCAAACATTCTTCAATAAAGTTGTATACTTTAAATAAGGGTACGTCTGCAAAGCTGTCCAACTTCAAAATGGCTGTGGAGTACATCCCATGCAAGCCATAATAGTGTGAGCCAGGTGACCACCCTGACCCCTGCACCATTTGGCACAAGTGGACAGGCCCTGCCCCCTAATGCACACAGGCAGCCCCCACCATTGCTCCACTGCTCATGTGGACAGTCTCCTTCACTGCTCCGCTATGCTGGCAGTTCCCCAGACACCATGCATGCCATCACCACTACATCAGGCACCTGAGCAACCACTCCAATGTGTGCCTCCTCTTCCCCAACTCACCAGCTGCAGGCTCCCTCACTGCACTGCACTGCACTGCCAGCTCTCACACGCAGTGCCACCACCTGGGACAGGCACAGAAAACAGAAGCCAGAGGGAAGGGCTAGATCCCCCAGCTGCTTTTGCAGCCAGAGCAATAGGGAGCAGTGGCCAGGTAGCAACTCATGGGCTTCATATTAACCCCTTGAGGGCTGCATGAGGCCTGTCAGTTGGACAGCCTTGTATTGAGGGTTGATTCTGCTTTAGGTCCTCAGAATCCAGGAAAAAAGCTTCAACCATTATTTTTAGAATTTAATAGTGTGGTTAAGACTTGGGTTACGTGACTCCATGTTTTAATTCTAGTTCATAAAAATAAGATCCCTCAGACTCTCTTTCCATTAAACAGAAGTTAAATTGTTTGGACTTTGTGTACACCAGCAATTAAAATGCTGTCACACTTTCCAAAATTAACACCAGTACTACATGCTGACTGGCAAGCAGGATCATGCCAGCAATGAGGCATCAGCACTCAATAGCAACAAGGAAGGAGTGAAGTTGTTTATTAGTGCTAAATCAAAGTTCAGCACTGATGAAAGAAGCTGAATTAAAGTCTGGGTAGCCTTTCTGTCTCTGTTCCCTCTCTGTTTATTCAGGTAACAACACATGCCACCAGAAACAACAAGGTTGCTAACTTCACACACAGCAGTCTGCCGTCCACTTTCAGGAAGGAGGACAAAATGGACTGACATCTTAAATCCTTGTTCTGGCTCCTCATACTGCCAGGAGGGCACTTGTTAGCACGAACAGAATGGTGATTTTTTTAAATATGAACCCAATAAGCAACCAACACGAGCTCTTTCTAGGTGGAACACAAAGTAAGTTGAAGCAGACAACTTGTATACAGCAGCCATAACCAAAATCTAAATGATTTACTCTGAAGTGCCTCACCACTGGAAGGGATGGTATCCTTGAACATTTCATAGAACTGTGTGAGGTACATCACCATGGACAGTTTATCTGGATCCCCAACAGATGCCATTTCCTTTCCAGTCATGATAGGAGAAATTCCAAACTCCTTTTCAGCTATGTCGAATGCCAGCTGGTTATTCTTCTCCACATTGTGCTCATCCAGAGAATTGAAGTCTCTGCAAGGGGCAGGGAAAAAGACGACATGCATCAAGGTGCGTATGGTTTGTTTTGATAGGAAAGGCAGTGCTGTCCAGCTTTCACTAAGAAACTGTCAAGTACCCTTTTTTTCAACTGTCCTGTCATCGTGCTTTTTTTTTTTTTTTTTTAATTACAGTGCTGTTAATAGACAGCCTGCTAACTGGGTGTGCTAACCTCAGTACAGAGCATCTGATAGAGTAAGTTTCAGCCCACAAAAGCTTGTGCTACATATATATTTATCTACTTTTGTTAGTTTATAAGGTGCAAAACTACCCTCCCTTCTGCCTAACTTTAGTACACCAACAGAAATGTAACTACTAAGAGACAGGACAGAATAACTGCTTAGTTTGTTTTACACAATTCTCCATTAACATATCTTCACCATTTGACATGAGAGAATTTCTCTTTGATAATATCTCAGTAGGAACCTGAAGTCATTTTAGACCTTCATCATAATACCAGAGTTTTTGCTGGCACTTCCACCTTCCAAAGTTTTTCTTTTTGCAAATTATAGGATTTGGGCACATTTTTATTCTTGCAGCTTAACTGGGTAGTATCTACATAAAAGGGTATTGCACAAACCGTAGCAGTGTTAGATTCCCTACTGCATGTCAATTCAGATTAGAGAAGACCTTTTCTAGAACTGAAAAGCTACTTCAAATGGCTTAGCTAATAAGGCAGCTATGTAAAAAAAGGTTACAGCAGTAAGTCAACTATGAATTAAATTGACTAAATTCACTTAGGCTGGTAAAGAGCTGTTGGGTGATAATGTATTTCAGTCACTAACAATTTGGAATGATTTGATCAAATGTTCTAAAAGAGCAAGTGAAACTTTGCCCAATATTCAAACCATTACAGCCCTTTTCCCTTACAAGTGAATCATTCTACATTAGATTTTATTAAGTCTAATTTGAATTATTTCAGTTTATTTTCCCCACATACCACAATGTCATTGTTTTTTAACACCATCCTCCAAAATATTTGCAAATCTGCCCCTATATTGGTTGCAATTTCCTTGTTCTAGTAAAACAGTCAGTCACTTACATCAAGTCAGGACGGTATCTATGGATAATGGCACATAATGCTAGACCGCTCTTCCATGATATTGTGAGATCTGTTACATTCACACCGGAGTACCCATCAGTCTGTCTCTGGCACCAATTTAGCAATTTACTAGAGCGAGCTACTGACTCTGAAAGAAACATTATGATTTTAAAAGGTTGCGATTTATATTGCATCTTTCACCAAGTATATCACATGACATATATATTATAGGACTCTCAAACCCTGAGAAAGGATTTCTAGATGGGAACAGCAGCCTCCCTGTACCAGAGACAACTTACAAGAGATTATTTTATTTAGGGCAAGAAGTGATGAATGCCTTATCCTGTTTAGTGCAGGGGAAGGGCTTTATTCTGATGGAAAGTAATTACTCAAGCTGCAATTTGGGCAGTTCAACCTGGCTCTTCTGAAAAATCTCAGAAAATTTAAGATGGCTCCAAGATCTTGTTTTAAGTTTCATCCAAAAGACTTGCAGCAGCCTAATGTTCCCTGAAACCTGGATATCACATTTCAGATAGTGGAATTTCTAACTGCTTTCTGCAGCACTTCCATTTATCTTGAATACCTCCAGTCAATGTACTGACCTGTACCTGTCGTGCCTTGCCTACCTAAAAGATCTGACAAGATTACAGATCCAAGTGGCACTGGTGCAAGCCAAAAAACAAATATGCAGACTCTAAGTAATTGTACAACCATGGCAGGAAGGTACACTAATAAGACAGAAGACTCGAGTAAAGCCCTATTCCAAATATTGCTCAGTTAGTCAAAAAGACTACAGACATGGGAAGATTCAACAAACCCCTCTAGTGGTTAGACTAGACAACTATTTAAATTCTTAGTGCGGGGCACCCAATTCCTAAAACAGTGTGTGAGTCCAGTATCTAGTCAGCAAAAAGATGACATTTCATAACAGAGAAAGCTTGAGCATCTACAAAAATAAATTTTTTCTGCCATCATTTCTATATGCATTATAGAATGGGGGGCTTTGCTACCAAATCAAGAGCAGGCTGAATTTTCACAATCAAAGCAAGTTCTTCAAGATGGTAATCAGAAACTGTTCTTTAAAATTATGTATAAAAATCTGAAATTAAAGAATAGCAAGGAGAATTATTTTAGATTTAATTATAGTTGAAAATGTAACTGTTTGGAAAGCCAGCCTTTTGAAAAAATGGGGCACTTTTCAAGTGGAGGAGGACAATTCTACAGCCCCATTGCTGTACATGTTCTGCACTGTCTCACTTCTGAGGCGTACAAAGGAGAGAAAGAATGAACTGGACCTACCATTCCGGGATAGCTTTGGTGTCCTGGAGTTCACAAAATTCTCTATCTCCAAGTGAATGTCTTTCAAATCTCCCTTATTGTATAAGTGCCGCACCTATAAGTGTGTGAAGATTATGAATGCCCAACATATCAAGCAGCAAGAGAAGTCTATGTAAATAAGAGCTATACTCCTTGAAGACTAAATTCTCCTTCTTTATCAATGTTCAAACAGCAGAGAATTCTATCAAGAGCTGTAGGACTACAGGTGGGGAAGCAGAGCAAGGCTTTTAAAAGTATCTGATCTGACAGGCATCCAATAGGCTCCCCACACCTGCACTGGGATGTTTCACATATGGCAAGGCAGGAAACATGGTGGGTGTGGGGGAGGTCCAATAACTCCCTGTGCCCCAGCACTTTTAAAAGCTTTGTTATGCAGCATGGCAAGACAAGGCTTAATATGCCACATGTTCAAATCAAAGTGCCAGAGAAACCAGCCACAAAGGTATACCACATTAAAATGTAGAACAAGTTTGTTGAAGGTTTGCCATTTTATGGCACCATCAATTAGTTGACCATGTAGCATGCTACAAGTTATTGCACAATTAACACAATAATCATGCAATAAATATAATGTCTGTCTAAGGCCCATAAAGAACAGATACTTAACAATGCTGTCCTTTCAGTCTTCACCTCACTATGGACACCAATTTGCAGCTACAGAATGCTTATTGTTTTTATAAAGAAAATGCAAATACTGCAACATTATCACTCACATAGTTTAAACTCAAAACCCATGAAAGTTCAGGGCCACAAATGACAAGTTTTCAATGCTTCTGAGAGATGTCTATAATATTTAAGTGCAGGTATCTGCAACACTCCCAGTGCCCAAAATATTCAGACAAACAAATGGCTACAAGATGACACAGGTCATATGATGTTAAAGGTATATCACAGCTCAGTTACCTGGTGTGGCCGCAGGAAGTTGACATTGACATTGGGATAGCGGGTGGCAGGATCAATGCTGTATTGGCTGAAGTTTTTAGTCACATTCTCAGGGGTGGTCTGAGGCAGCAGCCTATAAATGCTTTCTCTAAGGAAAAATAATAATTTCTGATCAATAAACAGGAAAAGGAAATATCTCCCTTGGTCACCTTCAAAGGTAAGACTCTCTTGAAGTCAGGACAGTTAAAACACTCAAAATGATAAACCCACCCCTTCAGGTACTAAGCAGATCAGAACCAGAGATGTGGGACAGAAAATTTTCCAGTGCTTTATTTTTCCATGGGAAATTTTCCATTTCTAAAAATTCATCATTTCATAAAATTCATCAGTAACGATACATGGATGCCAACACAATATTACACAAGCTTGGCAGTTTCAAAGTTGTAATTAAGGTTTTTCAGGTGATTATCCCAAGGAAGTGAGAGAGAGAGTATGTATATGTTTTACTGACTTGTAAACAGGAGGGTAAATACACTCACATAATAATCCAAACTAAAAATCAAGCTATGAATTCAACTAATTGGCTGTGCAGATCAAATCAAAACCCAAATGAATGCACTCCTAAGCTTGTTTCTATTTCTCAAAATCTCTTGCTTCTGGAGAATCAGTCAGAAGCACAATTAGTGAAGAAGATGCAGTGGTGATAAACTGCCCTTGCCCATAGACTTATTGGTAAAACCATCCTTTAGCAAAAGAGGAAGTGGTTCAAGTAGTTCTGAATCAGATTTGCCTCAATCTGATTCTGAAATGGAACTAATAAGTAGTGCAAGTGATTGTACAGATAGTGACAGTGAAACTGGAGGTGCTGCAATGACCTCAGTAGAAAAGAGTTAAACTTTGTTGAAGTACATGAGTGGACAACCACGGCATATCATGCACAGTTCTTTGGGTGCGCTACAATTAGGGTGTCAACAGTTTTCAGTGCCTTTGTTTTTCTTCATAAATATAAACAAACAATGTAAGGGAAGTATATGTTCTTGTGTATTGTCTTTACATTTTTACACGTTTTCCAATAAAAATAATTTCTTTCCACATAAAGCTTTGAATTTGAATATAATATTTAAATTGCATGAAGTGTGCCTTATTTAATTTTTTTTCTAATCAAATATTTCAGTTCAAATACTTGTGGCTATTGGGACATAAAATTATCATGGGGGTACTTTTTAGTTTTTGTTTACTAAATACAAGTTGCACAAACATGCTAAATCAGATTACACTCTATTTAAGGCATTGGAAAATTTTTAAATACAAAATTTTCCAGAAAACGCACATCTCTGATCAGAACTAGTATTTATGGATCTAATTAACTAGAACACCAGAGCCAGGAGAAAAAAATAAAAGTATATTTTCAGTGTCAACAGTCTTGTATCACAAATGAATGGAATGCCCTTGTCCAGACCTGTTTTCAGCTCTGACCACCCTTATCCCTTACTCAAAGGCACAGCAAAAATATAGTCCAGAGACAGAGAGCAAATTATTATAAGGAATGAAAATAATTGCATATAAATTGGATTTCTTAAAAATAATAAAAATAAATAAATAAATAGTGATGGATGACAAACAAATGGTACAGACAAGTTAAAAAAACTAATAAATCAATCATGTTCTCCTATTTCAGGGGAAAAGATGTGGCCCATGGACTGAATTCAGTCCGCAGACCTTTATCATCTAGCCCGCAGTGCTACCTGCAGCACACATGGACAGTCCAGGGTGCACATTGCATATGGCACCCACATTGGTTCAGCCCTATGGGCTGGATCCAACATGTGGGGCCAATCTGTTAGCATGATCTGGTCTGCAGACCAACTTCATGGCCAAAATCATTTGATATAGAACAGTTCAAAAACTGTACTTTTGCCCACAATTATTCCCCATTACCTCTCTGCAAGAACCTCCAGGGGGCTGGCTCCCAGAGACCAACTTCGTACCATCCAAGCAGAGTCCATGGCAGCCAAAAAACCTCTGGCTATTCCAGTTCCCATTGGCCAGAATGGCTAACATAACAGGTTGCAAGAGAGATGCAAAAAGAAAAGGATTACTTTTTGAGCAAGGAAAATAAAACAGTACCAAGAATACATTCAGTGGGCAGTCTTCAGGCATAGCATAGTTCACAAATAAACTTAAGACTTTGGTTATCTCTGGATTAATGGAAGCCAGATGCACAGCAAGCTTCCCCCAAAGGTAGCATTCCATTGTTCCCTAGAATGATTCATATCTTAGAGGTGCTTACAAGCACTTCTTCAAAACCACAATTTCAGATAACTACAGAATGGTGATTATAAACTGTTTTAGTACAGACTCCTTAGAGGTCCCAGCCACAATGAAAAGCAGGTGGAACAAATGCTGATGCATCAGGTCTCTACACACTCAGCTTACTACACAAGATCGCTTCCTATTTGCAATACTCCCAGCATTTCTTCCCTCCCATTTTATTACATAAAACAGTAATTGTCCCACACAAAGAATTCCTGAAACACAAAAGAAAGTTGTATTCATTTCAGTGGTTTGACAGGGTGCAATTGCTAGTGCTTGTGCTTCCATTCATGGTTCACATGCTAAGCTTAACACTCACCTCCAACAGACTGTCTCCAACCAATGCCACTAGCAGCTGGTGGCCATTCTGCTCTCGCACCAGAGCTGCATTCTCTGATGCGTACATACATGTGAAGTCAAACATGGCCACATCCGGCTGTCCATAGTGATTGATGGCAAAATCCAAAGATGGCAGTTGTTGATTGGTAGAAAAGTCAGCAGCTTCCCTGGCATAATTAAGCAAAGCCTCCTGGTCCACATTTTCCCGTGAGAGTAACAGCTCTGTGTCTGCATAGTCCTACCCAAACAAGAGAAAAACTGGAATAAAATAGTCTTGTGAACAGGGAGACTTAAGTGTGACACATGCAGACCACCTACAATTGCCAAGTCCAATGGTTTAGATTCTCTCTCCAAATTCCTTCATATTTCCTAGAGTCTAGGCTTCCAAGAAAAAAAAACAAACAATGGCTGCCTATACAAGTACTCGGGGCGGGTAGGAGGAAGGGGAGCATTTTCATTAGCATGGATCCTGGGGAGCTGCTCTAAAACACCTCAGCATCATGTGTATTAAGCACCCCCGTGTTTCAAAATGGCCACGGGGCACTGTAACTAAAACTTATTTGATGAGGTGTGCCCCCCCAAGGCCATTTGGAGACATGGGGGGCGGGGGGGTCGCTTAATACACGTGACAATGAGGCATCACTGGAACATTCTAACTGGAACATGGATCAGACTCAATCAAGTATAACTGTCCCTTTACAATCATGAGTTCCTTCAAAAACAACTACCGTATTTACTTGATGAGAAGATGAGGTTTTCCCCCCGCATTTAGGTGAGGGGATTTTCCCCCCCCATGTTAACAACTGAGCACAAGGCAGCGGGGATGGGGGGGGTGTCTAATTACTGGGGAGGTCATCTTACATTCACAGTCATCTTGTATTTGGGTAAATACAGTAATGACATTTGTTAAATTATTTTCCCACTTTGCATATTTAAAAACTATTTTTGTTCCATCTTTCTAGGGTGTGAATTTCAGCGTGTAATTGTAAAAACTTGTCAGAATCAAAAAAGCTTAAATGAGGACTACATAAAAGCATCTAACTGAAGTCCTGAGAACTCTGTTGGAAAGAAGTGGACAAACAAACAAATTTATCGTAAAATGAAGGGCGAGAGAGGAAACTTACTGCATGTCAGCTATTCTATGGTAACTGCTTCATGCAACTGTGTCTATTCCAAGGTAAGTGGGAGCTAACCTGGGGCAGATTACCACCATTTTATTTAGTCCAAAAAAAAAATTTTTTTAAATAGACTGTTTGTTAAGTCCTTCACTCTGGTGCTTTCACAGTTAGCACAAGATAAGCTGCCCTGGTTTAGCTTCCATTTACCACAAGATAGGATTGGTCATACAAAACAGACAGTGCAGAATAGCTGAGTTATGGTAAATTCCTCTTCTTCCAATTCAGAATAATTTGTCTGTCTGTCAATAAGCAGCAAATATGAGTTTTAGCATTATTTAAAACAAGTTTATTGTATAATAGCTATGCACAGCAAAGTAATTTATTTCTTATGTTCATTTGGACTAAGCTTTCAGATGTTATCTAGGATTTCCTCCAATATATTTCAGATGACATTCCTCCAAGTCAGACTGACATGTGAGATACTACAGAACAAACCCACTAGGAGGAGTTAAATTCTTGGTGATTAATATGAGACATTAAGTATGAAGAATTAATGGAAGAATGGAAGCAGGAAGTAGAGAGTACATTGCTTTGCAAAAGCTCCTGTCATCCAGGCTCATCCCAAGAAAAACTAAGCTTCAAGTTTATAAAATCATAAATTAGGCCACATATAATCTACAGCAGTCAAACCTGGGTTCTCTCAAGCAAATGAGATACCACTAGCTCATTTTGAAAGGGAGAGTTTACAGAAAATCTTTGGTGTACAGTATAATTTGGACAAGTGGGTGAAGAGCTCACTCGCCAAGGTCACAGATGACACCAAGCTATGGGGACGCGTGGTCATGCTTGAAGATAGGCTACAGATACAGGTGGATCTAGACAGGCTATCAAGTTGGGCAAGTCAGAACCAGATGAAATTCAATGTAAAAACATGTAAAGTGCTCCACCTGAATCAATGCATCTCCAACAAAACCAAGGAGGTGATTCATCTGCTCAATTCAACACTGGTGACACCCCCAATGGGAGTACTGCATCCAGTTCTGGGCACCACACTTTAACAAGGACATGGTAAAACTTGAGAGAGTCCAGAGAGGGGCCACCCATATGATTAGAGGCTTGCACAGCAAGCCATACGAGGAAAAGCTGAGGGACCTGGGACTTCAGCCTGAAAAAGAGAAGGCTGAAAGAAGACTTGGTAGCAGCTTAGCGGTACGTGAGGGGAGTACATGGAGGGGCTCGGTGAACAAGTGTTCACCAGGAAGCCCTTGGGGAAAACCAGGAGTAATGGCCACAAACTCCTGGAAGACCGTTTCAGGCTCAACATTAGGAAAAAACTTCTTCACAATTAGGGTGTCCAGACTGTGGAATAAGCTCCCTCCAGAGGGTGTAATCGCCTACCCTGGAAATCCACAAGAGGAGACTGGACAGTCACCTTGCTGGGGTCACCTGACCCCACCTGTTATTTTTCCTGCCTGGTGCACAGGGTTGGACTCAATGATCTTCCAAGGTCCCTTCCAGCCTTACAATCTATGATCCCAAAACACAAGAATGGTGCTTAAAAAGCAACAGAGTTGCATCAATTGTACAGAGACCCAACTTTGACAGGAAGTCAGAGTACAATGGCTACAGTGGCCGAGACATGCTGAAAGAATGGAAGCAATCCAGGCACCAAAGCAAGTGCACCTCAGAGTGCCAGAGGAGAGAAGGCCTCATGAACAATCAAGATAAAGAAGGCTACGTGATGTAGTGGTGTCAGACCTACAGAAATTAAATATGAATGACTGGAGGATGAAGGTGCACAACAGATGGGAAGGGATTCAGATAGTGGAGGCAACCAAGGGCCCCTTGGGCATATAGTATTAAATAATAGTAATGCTATTAGTAATAACAACAACAATTATAATTATTGTTGTTGTTATTTTATTTTAAATATGATGAGGCAGGTTATTTATATTACCAGAACAGGGTTGACCAACTTGAGGCATGCGTGGAAGTCACTGGCAGCTGCTACATGTGCCATGCAGCAGATTGGGGCTGGGGCAGACATGGGAAGATATTTAATGGTCCTATGATTAGAAATCTTATTTCCTGAGGCAGACATAAATTGAGGGCAGAGTACCATTTGTAAATCTGTACTAAGGACTCAATATATTGAGTCTTTCTTTAACAAGGTGCTTGCCACAAAGTTTGCTCAAAACTCATGCAAGTCATGTCCTAAAACATGTTTGTATCAAACCATTTTGAAGAGGCCAAAATGCCCTAGAATATATGCAATGATCATGTGTTTCATCCCTTTCAGAAACACACTCACTTCTTGCAAACTGCCAAATTGCATCCAAACCAGCTAGTTTATAGGTTTAAAGAATTTAATACTCACATGTCGTATCACCCCTTTGTCCAGCAAGCTCTGCTTTTTGGCAGTCATGACGAAGTAGTGAGTATCATCTTTGTAGTAGACAATGTTCTCCAAATCAATGCCTGTGACAGAAAGAAGAGATGAAGTGCTATTACAGCAAAAACACAACCTGCAATACAAGAGCACGCTAGATTCATCCAACGCCCCCTACCTCTAAGTGTGATGAACAGCCTTGCCAAAGTCCTCCAAAACCTTGGAAAGTTCCAGCCTTGCAGAGCCAGACAGATTATAGGAGCTGGAAACCCTAGCAAATAGGACTGCACTAAGCAGTTTAATTCACAAGCTCTCAAGGGATTTTTTTTTCTTTTTTTACCTATATGTGAAAGTTATACTGTTTCTCTCTGTAATGGGTTGACTTTTTTGTCATAGCTCTAAGCTAGACAGAGAAAGACTCAGCACCCTGATTTTTCCATGGAGCACTACAAACATATAGCACGTCCCAAAGTTTGAAGAGACAGCCATACACTTGTAGGCAAAAAGTGTCAAGCATCTAAAGAATAAACAAATCAGACTGGGAAAGAGGGACTGTATAAAATATATTATACTTTTTGGATCAAGGGTCAGAAAGTTTTGAAACAGACAGCTAGAGTCAAAAACTGGTAAATCAGCTTAATTCTTCCACTTCTAAAAGTCAGGGTACCGCATACAAACCTGTATCTTCTCGAAGATCCTGAAAGAACTTCTGGTTGAATATAAAGGCCACACCACTGATCTCTTCCACTTTGGCTTCAGCTGTGGTGTTGCGGTTGATGAAGTTTGCTGTGATAGCAATTGCTAATTTGCCACGGAACTCTTTTCGGCGAAAACCTAAGTGGATGATAGAGCAAAGATAGTAAGAAATATGGTTCAACTACAGAAAAAGTTCAGCCTACCCTAGAGAGGGTGCCTCTTAGATATAGGCAGAAAGGGCTCAAATGATATAGAAACTTGAAATTTTAAACTTTTCTCTGGGGATTGGGAAGGAAGCAACAAAAAATGCTTCATGTAAAAGTCTTTACCAGGAAAATATACCTATCTTTTCAGAGACCTCATTTAGGTTAATGTTTGTCCATATACAAGTGAGTTGCCTCCACTTCAAATATCGTAGTGTTGCATGCAGCAATGATGCAAGATATCATCTCCAACCAGCTTATTAAAACACCTACTAGTTCCATTCCTGATCTCACAAAGCAAAGGGATGCTGCAAATACAGGTTTAGGTAACAAAACCATAAAGAAAATGCTGAGAATGAGGAAAAGACAATGTTATCTAGTTCAACACACCTGATCTTTCGCTACCAAAGAGAAATGTAAAGATCGAGTTCAGAGAACATGCACCTTAGCTATATCCTGTGGTAATGCAACTGCTGAGTTGGATTCCTGAAGGATGCAAGTTTTTCCTCTACATTCCCAACTTCTTTATAGACAGACTTTTCAAATGCTTAATGTTTAGCAAGAGATCAGAGAGTATCTTGGATATTGAAAATCTGTTCTGTCCAACTCTGTTAAGAATATTTACAAGACAGACGAAGCTACAGCAAACCATGTGCTGTGGAAAATTCTCCAAGGAGGACTCATCAAGAACAATTACCTTCTAAGGTGTTCCTCCTGCCATCCCCTCCAATGATTACTTCAAACTCATACTCTGACACTGGATGTGTTTTCGGGTGAACCAGTGCACGCCAACCTATTCCTGTGGATAAATCTTAAGTTAATGGTAATATATTCAGTGCATCTACCTTCACACACATCATAGAATGAAACATAGAAACCAGCTCTTATTGCATGCAATACTCCTGGTTTGGGAGGCTACTTGGCTAAGGCACATCATTGAAGGTGATGTTAGCACTTTTTTCAGGGGCACTATGCTATCCATGACTGCACTTGAAAAAGGCCAGAAACAGACATCTTTGGTAAAGTGGGATCAGATGTACTGGCATATGTCATGGCACAGGTAATTGCACTCCAGGGATGTCTACAGACCTATGACAGTACAGCTGATTGCCATGCCCTAACTTGTGGCATGTCTGCAAGTGAGGGAAAACTCCCATTTGTAGATGTGCCCCCCAACTTGGGGAATGCATGCAGATGAATCTGTCTGAAAGGGATTTCCCGGTATGTACCTGCAAGTGCAGAGGGGAGATTCCCATTCCCCCCCTCCGTGCTTGCTGGTGCGGGTAGGTAAATCCATACTACTGCCAGGAATGGACACTAGGTCGGTGCATGTTTCTAGGAGCAGTGCAGGGCATGGGCTGCAAATGCAGATGGGGAACCCCGCTACAGGAGTTCCCGCCCTTTCAGGCATGCACCAGGAAACCCCCTGAAGAAGAATTCTCCACCATACTGCACAGGGTGCATGTCTGCAAGTGAGGGTTCCCTGCTTGCAGACATGCACCCCAAACCCAAACTTACCTCACTTACCCAGACACGTCCCTGGAGGGATACATCTGCACAAGTGGGGAAAGACGCAGGCACTCTCAATGCCTGAGGGAGCTGATCCTGTCTGGGAAATACTGGGGTGTGCAGGACTGGGCCCCTCAAGCCCAGGGAACCTCCACCACAGGGAAGCTGGTGAACCCAAAGAGCTTCACATTGCCCAAGCTCTTCCACCACAGGCAAACAAACGTGGGCCACAATAAAGTGGCTCAATTCATTACCATCTTCTGGTGTGACCATAAAATTAGAGCATTTAAGGTGCAGCAGCAAGTCTGGATGTCTGCTTGCTTTTGTTTTGTGATGCCATAACATTTTTGATAGCACAAAGGAGACGTCTGTTTCCACCCTAAGTCTCGTCTTTTCATTTATCAGGGTGCCAAAGAGCCATGGCCTGCCAGGGCATTTAGACAAACAGGGTTAAACGAGTCAGATACAATACAAAAGCCTATCAGAAAGATCACTGTAATGCCCACTTTACTACATGAGCAAAAATCTTTGCCCAGTATGCAGCAAGTCAAACTTCACATCCATACAGGATGTGTGTGGCTAGTAACAAATCTGACAACAAGCTTGTAGGATAAGTGATATAAACAGTCTGAATGCATACACTGCAAGGGGTTGCACTTATGGAAAAAAAAGTCATTCAGTATTTTGGGATGACAAGCCAAAATGCTGCACGAACTACTGCAAACTGTTGTGTTGTACCACTCCTGTAGGATGCATTAATATACACTACTGTAGAGTACAATCTTAGTTTTGGCAGGCAAAAAATCAGAATTGGGTACTAGGAAGAATAAAAAACTATTAGGGATCAAGCCAGTCAGTTTCCTTTTGAAAAGCACCACATTCACTTCCTTGCCATCTCTCCTATCCATTTCAACTCTACCTACTCTCATTCTCCTGGTCCTCAGGAGGGTAGACAAGCCCCTGAAATTCCACATTAACATGGATCTCTATTCCCAAAATCAAGGCAACCTTCAAGAGGATGAGCTGGAGCTGACGGATACCTGCAAGATAGCAAAAGACAATAAGGTACTCTATGACCATAAAAACCACACATGTTAAATAAATTCATTAACACAGAAATTATGGAAGCCAAATTGCTACAGCATCCTCAGAATGAAGTTTAGAAGGAATTACAGATTTCTGTAAACCATAACACAGATAAAAAACAAAATCTCACACCAATGTTGGAGTTCATCCAACAACTGCCTTCCTGTCCCAAGACATGCAATTCAAAGTTCATGTAAACTGACCACACACAGTCTAGTGGCAGGGCACCAAGCTTTTCACCTCCTCCACCCTCAAAAACTCGCATAACTTCTGGAGGTGGGACTGGTATATGGAGGTCAGCAGGCATGCTATAGGAAATCAAGGGGGTTTTACTATTCTACAGGGAGACTCCTCTTGGCTAGTTCCAGACACTGCAATGTAAAATGCAGCTTTTAAAATGCTAACCATTTAGCTGCTTTAGGAGGAACAAGAAAAACTTGGGACTATATGCAATCAAAAATAAAAATATGGGCAACTAGAAACTGGAAAGGGAAATCTGTACAATTAAAGTTCGAATGAACCTTCATATAGTTAAATCCACCACTTCATAGCATGAGATGGACCTTCTCCTGTACTAAAAGCCATATCTTATCAGCCATTGCTAGGTCAGATTTGCTCCAGATTTCCTTTTCAGTTTTGTCATGTGGTGAGCATATCCCTCTTGCTTTTTAAAAAAAAAAAAAAACCCAGCTGGACACATACCCAATATATTATCAAAAAATGAAATGCATTAGCCTGCTGATTGAATGGTTGTTTGAACCAATTTTAAAAGGACAACAGATCTGATTCATCAGAACCCATCGTCTTATTTTCTCAGGGGCTTTATTCTTCTTTCCTCAGTAAAATACTATTCACAACTTGGCAGTTTTCCTTAAAACTTTAAAGTACTAAAGCCATCTTGACCATTCCCTTCCACTCTTCCAAATTTACAGATTATAAACTTATGGAGGAAAGGTCTTCCATTTGCTGGTGTAAATAAAACTACAACACTTCTGCTTTTTAAATAACAATGCCAGAACTGTTCCCGTTTTTGCAGGAATATACGCAAAGTATGCTGTTCAAGAGAATCAGGTCATTTGCTACAACTTGTTTAAAGCATCTAAGGAAAGGGTTTAGTGAGGCAGTTGTAGGGATGTGAGTGCAGCACTTGAAAACTGGGAGAATCATCATTATGAAAGGGGAGGGGGAAGGTCCTCAACTTTGATTTTCAAGGTAGAAAAAAAAAATAGGGCCATGACATGCCAGCAGGTTGATATTACAGCATATTATAGGTGTCTGCAGCAGCACCCAGTACAGCCACAACTATGACCTTTTATCTTGCTGTAGTCCAAAAAAGCCTATACAAAACATGAAGTGGAACTGCATCATTGACAGGCACAGGAGATCAGAGCAGTTACAGACGAAGGCCGAGTTCTACGAATCACCACCACATGCTATCTCCCACCTTCTTCCCAGGGACGAATGAGAGCTGATATGGAACTAACAGCCGCTTTACTTACTGATATGGTCGATAGACCCTGCACAGAACTTGCCATAGAACTTTTTGGCACCAAGGCCCCGCAAGTCATGTATGGTGAATGGCCACAGGTGGAGAACATTGTTGCGAGAGAAGGCATCCCTCTTTTCGATGACCACTACCTTAGCTCCTAGTAAAGATAAGTCAATGGCTGTACGAAGGCCACAGGGTCCAGCCCCAATGATGAGACACTGTAAAACAACCAGCATAAAGTGATTTAACAGCTTTAGATAGAAAAGCCTTGGATGTATTTCTTTCACAGCTTTAAAAAAAAAAAAAAACAAAACAGCATAGGAATGTACTTCAAGTGCTGTTTGCTTGGAACACAAGCTCCTATTGCACCAGGAACAAGCTTTTTAAATCTTATCCTTGTGCTCTGTCATTATGATATATTAATAAAGTTACTGCAATACGAAAACAAACCAAGCATGTCACAGCAGTGGAAGTGGTAAGAAGCATACAGGTAACCCACAGTTTTTCAAATATCATTTCAGAACCATGCTAAGATGTAAACTCTCCCACCTATATAAAAATGGAGGGGATGTCACTGTTTCCATAGGGTCAAGCTTCTAGTTCACACGTCTTTCTTTAGACCGGGTGACTTAAGCTTTTTCTTTCACAGGTCAAATCCTGAATGGGCTATCTGTCTATATCTGTGATTCTCAACCATGGTGCTGCAGTGCCCTGGAGTGCCTTGAGATCCTTTTAAGGGTGTTGTGGAGTGTCACAGACTGTTATCTCTATTAGGTAAGTAAACATGATTCACATAATAAACCCAGAGGTTTCAAATAGGAATTCATGCTGTCAAAAACATTCTGACCTGTTGTGCTCAGAGTTCTTTGCAATAGAAGGGTTATTCTATTATTTTTCTGTAGTAAAAAATGGAGTAAAAACTAACAGCTGGCATTTTCCAAGGGGTGCTTCAAGTCTAAAAAGGCTGAGAAGTTCTTTTTTATACACATTACCTCTCTCCACTCCCCACCCCAAAAATGTATTTCTGTCATTGACCTGCATAAGGGAGAACAATAGTTGGAGCAGAAGGGTAGACAATACACAGGGAACACTGGTATTTTAACCAGTGAGTCATTAAATTTTAAGCAGCACTGTACAATATTCTGGTATGTATCCTACTGACATATGGGCTCCTACCATTGTCATCAGGGAAGCAGCAATAGCTTGACAGTTTTAGGAAACTACATATAGTGGATATGGCCTTTGATCACCTAGACAAGATACAATTTCCTTTAAGTCTCACCCACCCACCTCAAATTTTCACTCTACCATATGTATTATTAGTGACCAATATAATCACCTTAAAAATGCCATGCCCAGTATTATTAGCAGTATCACAGTATCATAGAAAATTAAGGCTGGAAGGGACCTCAGGATGGCATCTAGTCCAATCCACTGCTCAAAGCAGAACCATCCCCAACTAGTTCATCCCAGCCAAAGCTTTGTCTAGCCAGGTCTTAAAAAACCTCCAAGGATGGAGAGTCCACCACTTCTGAGTAATCTGTTCCAATGTTTTACTACCCTCCTAGTGAGAAAGTTCTTCCCAATATTGAACCTAAACTTCCCTTGCTGCAAGTTGAGACCATTGCTCCTTGTTCTGTCATCTGCCACCACTAAGAACACCCTAGCTCCATCCTCTTTCAAACCTCCTTTCAGGTAGTTGAAGGCTGCTATTAAATCCCCCCTCAATCTCCTCTTCTCTAGACTAAATAAGCCCAGTTCCCCCTCAGTCTTTCCTTATAAGTCATGTGCCTCAGCTCCCTCACCATCTTCCAGGTAACTGATGACGACATTGAACAAAACCAGCCCCAGGACCAACCTCTGCAGCACTCCACTTGATACCAGCTGCCAACTAGACATTGAGCCATTGATTACTACTCTCTAAGCCCGATGCTCCAGCGAGTTTTCTATCCACCTTACAGTCCATTCATCCAGCCTGTACTTCCTTAGCTTGCCTGTGAGAATGTTGTAGGAGACCATATCAAAAGCCTTGCTAAAGTCAAGGTATACCGCATCCACTGGTCTCCCATGTCCACAGAGCCAGTCACCACATCACAGAAGGTAATCATGGTGGTCAAGCATGACTTACCCTTGGTGAATCCATGCTGACCCTTCCTAATCACCTTCTCCTCCAAGTGCTTAAAAATGGATTCCTTGAGGATCTGCTCCATGATTTTTCCTGGGACTGAGGTGAGGCTGACTGGTCTGTAGTTCTCTGGATCCTCCTTCTTCCCCTTCTAAAATATGGGCACTATGTTTGCCCTTTTTCAATCATTTGGGACCTCTCCCAATTGCTGTAAGTTTTCAGCGATGAGGGACAGTGGGTCTGCAATCTCATCAGCCAACTCTCTCAGCACCCTCAGGTGCATCCCACCCGGCCCCGTGGACTTGTACATGTCCAGATTTTTTTAAATAGTCCCTAACCTGTTCTTTTGTCACTGCTGGCTGATCACCTCCTCCCCAAACCGTGCTGCCAGGTGCAGTAGTCTGGGAGCTGACCCTGCCTGTGAAGACAGAGGTGAAAAAGGCATTAAGCACTTCAGGCTTTTCTACATCCTCTGTCACAAGGTTGCCTCCTCCATTCAGTAATGGACCCATACTTTCCCCAATCCTTCTCTTGCTACTGACGTACTTGTAGAAACCTTTATTGTTACCCTTCACATCCCTTGCTAACTGCAATTCCAACTAGCCTTCCTGACATCATTCCTGCATGCCCCAGCAATGCTCTTATGCTCCTCCCTATTTATTTGTCCAAGTTTACACTTCTTATAAGCTTTTTGTAACTTAGTTTACTAAAGAGCTCCCTGCTAAGCCAAGCTGGTCTTCTGCCATACTTGCTAGTCTTCCTGCACATTGGGATGGTTTGTTCCTGCACTTTCAGTAAGGCTTCTTTAAATTATGTGAAGAGACTAATGTGCCAGTACATCTGTGTGGGATTTAAAAACAAGATTTCACACTGATATTTCTTATCAGTATGCCAGCCTACAGCCTGAAAAGAAACCCTGCATTCAGTATAACTAGCTCAAATGGACCAGAGCATGGTTTTGTAATAAATAGTCAAGATTTTCATGGTATTTTTCTCCTTCTCAGGCTTCTACCAGATGTCTATATTTCTTGAGCAACTTTAAGTACACTACAGATTGATCAGAGGCCAAATCACTGACAATGTACTGTCCTAAAAAACAGACCTTTGTTTTGGATGCTCCAAAGTTTTCAGTTATTACAATTAACCAGGTTTAAGGAGCTACTGTTGGCCCATATATTGTGCAAATGAACTGATAATTGCCTTCACTTGAAGAATAGTAGACTCATACAAGTTCAAACAGTATAAGATGCGTTATTAAAACAGGTGCCACAAATACAGCGCAAGACAAATATTTTTATATTCTGCAGTTATAATGCATAAAGGAAGCAACACAAATCTGTAGATATAGAAACAATTCAAAAGCTAGGAAGAAAAAAAAAAAGTCACAGGTTCCCAGACGTATCAAATAAACAAAGCAAGCAGCCAAAAAGGAGGTCAGCCCAAATATAAGCTATTTGCAATGCAATTCCAAAAAAGGCTTCCAGATTAAATCCTAAGTGTCCTATTCATCATTTGTTGACAGAGGTTTACCCCCCCCCCCTTGTTAAGAACTTGTAATAGAGCAAAAAGCCACAGAATGAGATCTGGTGCATATTTTCAATTCAGTACCATTCTCTTTGTTGATGATACAATTTTGATACAATTTTCAAACTCTATACTCTATTCTTTCTTCCAAGAAAGAATATAAGATAAGTATTACTTCATAGCTGATCAGTTTGCCAGTTAAATGACAACTCCATTCTTTTAAGAACACCAATCCCTAAGGGAGTTAATAAGCAGCAAGACCACATTTACACAGGCAAGGTCTCTTCTCTTATAACAGTCTGAACGTGAATTAGTCATGATAGAGGATAAATGAGTAAAATGGCTTTTACACTGGATAGTTCTAATTCAGGTCCACTGAGTATTTAACTATGTTAATTATCAATAATTTTTCTAACCTCAATGCTTTCTTAAAATAAAAGTATAAAACCTATTTGAAAATTGAGATGGTCTGGATGTAGCATATAAGGCATCTAGGAATACATTAATATCTGTCTATCCTACCCCCACAAGAGCTCTAAGACTAAGTAATTCAAGCATCCCATCAGTATGAGTATTTATGCATTTTTAACCCACTCTCAAATCCTTTCACAGGTAAAGGCCACTGACAGAAACTCAAGTCTAACATTCTTCCAGCAGAAGTTAAAGCACTTGTGTAAAGGATTTATGAGGTGCCAACAGTAGTTTAATTGCAGCTGCATATACAGGACAATGTTCTAAACTATGGGAAACAAAGGGCTATAGCTGCAATGAGCTTTGTACTTTACAGGCAAGTTTACTTTTACAAAACACTTGGCACTGGAGATTATTCAGCAATAAGTAGAACCGCAATATGTTATGTATCATTAGGGTTCAAACCTATTTCACCTTCACATACTTAAATGACACTTTGGCATTAGGTAATTGGGTATTTTTTATGTTTATGCACAATTTGGATTCAATATATGTAAGTGCCAGAAGTGAAATGGTGGCTGGGCTGGAGAAGGACAGGAGAGCGCTTTGGATAATGCCTAGCCTGTGGCCTTGTGGTAAGAGCACTTAATTGAAAAGTAAAAATACAGGTTCAAATCTCTTCAGGGGAGGAACCTGAGTCTCCCATTCCCTGGGCAAACGCCCAACCACTAGGCTATTGAGTTTATAGGTGGAAGGGTCTCTCTCTCTAACATCATCATGATTTCCCTGGAACTAAAGCTTTAGAACTTACCCTGGACTGTGTGTATGCTTGAGTGACAATGTTCTGCTTGGGCACTTACCAGCCAAAGTGCAGCCTACTGAGCAGGCTCAGTAGGGAAGCAGTGAAGTTCAAATTATGCAAAAGCACCAAAAACTGAAATTACATGGCTACGTAAGTGCCACTAATGCATGTGAAGATGAAATAGGATTCAGCCCTTAGTGTTTATGCTACAGTATCCAAGTGTTCCAGTCTGAGCAAAATACCATGTGCAATTCTTGCTTTAAGGTACCTAACATAATGAGGTCCTAGACCATGACAAGGATTTCTAGATGCAGTGGAAATTCAGATGAGTAACAAATGTCACCCACCCTATAAATAAAGAACATGCAAAATGGAAAAAATTCATAACCAAACAAGATGTTTTCTAACATCCAAGTAATGAGCTGAAGTTAAATCACCCAAATCTCAGATGACTGTCCATTAAACAGAAATTTCTGTAATGTCTTTGCTTCCTCAGGGAATATGAATATGTAGAAATGAGGAGTGCCTCAGTCATGCTGGATAAAGCAGGACATAATCCTTTACTAAATTCATAAAATTCCTTTCTACCTTTCTTTTAAAAAAAAAAACTGGGCGATGACTTACCAAAGTAGCTTGCTACAAGAAAATACTTAAATGTACAATCACTGAAAAAGATTCCATCTATACCAAAATAAAGTCTTTATGCAGGGGTGGGCAATAATTTGGGCCCAGGAGCCACACAGGGAGTTTCGACACGTTGTGGGTTAGGTCAACACCCCTCCTCCCCAACCTTCTCGTGGCCCCATCTCACATATGGAGTTTTAGTGAACTGTTGTGGCAGACAGTGGTGTTCAGGAATGAGAGAGGCAGGTGAGGCCAGGATCACAAGGTGGGGGCAAACGGTGGCCTCTGTCCTGGGGGGGGGGTGTATAGGTGGGACATGTGTGCGCATGTGTGGGGGGGAGGGGAAACAGGGAGTTGCCTGTGATCTAGGTCCCAGGAACTGGGAAGGAGGGGGCAAGGGGTGTGTGCAGAAGAGCTTGCCTGGGCAGTGTGGTTCATGGCTGCCCCTACAGCGTTTCATATGGGGTGGAGCGCCTGCTGTCCCTGCCACGGTGCAGCCCGCACCTACCAGCCTGGCCCCAGCCAACATGCACATTTGCTCCTGGTGCAGCTGCAGCCACCTTAGTGCTGGTCCACTCCCCTCAACTCTAGTGACAGCTCTTCCTTCTGTTCCTGCTGTGCCGCTCCGGGCTGGGAGGAAGCTTCTGCAGGGCATCTCCTGCCCCAGTGTGCAAGGCTCTGCCTCAAGCTCCTGGCTGCCTTTCACCCACTCTGGCCACCTGGTGCTTCACAAGTAGCTGGTGCTGGAGCCCCGTGGGCGGGACAGGAGCCACACAGCTGAAGCTCCCAGCTATCTTCCATCAACTCGGCCACGCAGGCCAGAGTGGGTGGAAGGCAGCTAGGAGCTGGAGCCACCCAGCTGAAGCTCCTCCTGGTCAGAAGCAGCATCGCAGAGTAGGAGGAGCCACTCCTAGAGGCAAGGGGAGTAGAGGGGGCTGCAGCTGCACCAGGAACAGCCCTGCTGGAAGTTGTGCATGCTGGCTGCGGCCAGACCAGCAGGCATGGGCTGAAGCGTGGTGCAGCCTTCCCCGGGCTAGGTTTGGCCCCATTTAGAGCACTGTGGGGGCAGCCACGGGCCAGATTGGACCAATTGGCAGGCACCCCCGGCAAGCCAGATCTGGTCCACAGGCCATATTTTGCCCACCCCTTCTTTAAGTTCACAGTGAAGCATGTGATTGAGATCTTGCAGTTCAATTTAATGAATTATTTTCAGGCTTAAAGCAGAAATTTCTTATTGCCAAGTACAGCATATTCCAGCTTTTTAAAATGAATCACTTTCTTTTTCCTTAAACGTACCTGACTGCCTTCGACATAGAACTCAAATGAGAAAGATCAAGCATTTGCTCGAGACTGTAGGGGGGCTGTTAGGAAGGCTAAGGCAGAGATGGAACTAGGACTAGCGACCTGGATCAAGGATAACAAGAAGTCCTTTTTTAAATACATAGGGGGTAAAAAGAAGGTACCGGGTAATGTAAGGCCTCTGCAGGATACGCTAGGAAATCTGGTGGTCACCCCAGATGACAAAGCTAGCCTCTTTAACAATTGCTTTGCCTCCATCTTTTTGAGCAGGGACTGGGCATCCGCCCCACTGGGATCCCTGATGGACCCAGGGGAGGCGCAGCCAGGCCCAGGGTCAGTGAGGACCTAGTCAGGGAACTTCTGGTGGGTCTAGACATGTTCAGATCAGCAGGTCCAGACGATCTCCACCCCAGAGTGCTGAGTGAATTAGCAGAGTTCATTGCAGTACCCCTGGCACAGCTTTACAAGCACTTGTGGTGCTCTGGTGAGGTGCCAGAGGACTGGGAAAGGGCCAATGTGCTCCCCATTTTCAAGAAAAGGAGGAAGGAGGACCCAGGAAACTACATGCCCATTAGTCTTACCTCAGTCATGGGGGAGCTCTTCGAGAAAATTATCCAGGAGCACACCTGCAAGGGGCCAGCAGGGGAGATCATGCTTAGGGGCAACCAACAGTGGTTCATTCAAGGCAGGTCCTGTCAGACCAACTTGGTCGCTTTCTATGACCAGGTAACAAAATCCTTGGATGCAGGTGTCGCAGTGGATGTAGTCTTTCTGGACTTTAGGAAGACCTTCGACACTGTCTCTCACCCCATTCTCATTAAGAAATTAGGCAACTGTGGCATCGATGCCTACACAGTCAGATGGG